TGGCCGAGCTTCTCCTCCGACTTGGGGCGTGTGCCTTGATGTTGTCATACAAATCGGAGGGACCTACAGTTTTACGCCGACTCCGAACGGCGATTGTATTTTTATGAGAAGCCGTTTGGCTTTACCAATAGCCTCCTTCCTTTGCAAAGCAGCATTATTATTGGTTAAAACATAAGGGGTATGTATTCACAAATTGAGCAGGTGGTCTGGCACGCTGGCAACAGTCGTTGCTTGAGTTATCTGCTATTTTGTCAGAGTGCCAGGCCACTTGCCCAACATGGTGCATACCTACATATACATAGTAGTTTGGCTGGAACTTCTCGGAGAAACTCCTTTCAAGGGAATTTTATAAATATTAAAGATTGTTTAATGTGAGTCCATATATATATATATATGTGAGTACTCATAGTACCGAATAGAGAGGCTGCCATGTTTAATTTTTAGGTACTACTTTAGGTCTTCTTTTAGGTAAAATTTTTTTTCGGCAAATAAGTACAATTCGAAAATTCAATTCTTGTTCATATTGCGACAATGTATTTTATGACGTCAGCAAATAGGTGAATGCTGTCAAATCGACGAAGGGTTACCGCTCAGCTAATATATACATATACATACAAGCGTTGACAACAATTCGAGATATAAAACTAACTCTAGGCGAGAGGTAACTATTGTTTACCGGGTACATAGCTTGTAGGGTACATGGTAGAGAATAGTTGAGATTTATCTATTTCATCTCTAGCTAGAGTGAATATCTCCTAGAGTTGCTCTACCGTGTAAACTAAATTGAAAGAGGGAATTTTTATTTCAGTAAAACTCTAGAGAGATTTCTCTACCGTGTACACTTAGCTTCACCCTGTTTTTTCCGAAGTTGCTTTGCAAAAATATTTGAAACTCGGTATGTACGAAGAACTTTTTTATGGTACGGTCTAATGTAAACCCTTTTCTGCTTGTCAGCTTAGTAAAAGCCTCAAGAATTTTGAGGTTTTAAAGAATTTTTTCGTTTAGGGGCATACCTATCCTTTTTTAAAACCTAGACTTTCAGGGAATCAAGGTGGTGGCTTATACCGACAATGTTGCCATACTCGTATCATGTCAGATTACATAATAATTTCCTTCCGTTCGCGACATTTGAATCCGGAACAAACTAACTAAGTCAGAAAGTAGCTGCTGTTAGTGCAACGGGAGATCCTGCCAAACAATTTACTACCTATGGATCTCTTTTTTTGTATTGAAAACTCACTTGCTCACATCGCAATCGGATTACTGGCTTGAGGTTAGTGGAAAAAAAGGCCGTTCGTGTGCAATGTCATCCCTAATAAAATATACCATCCGAAGTAGAAGCGGTGCCTAACGACTACATTATAGCACTAAACTTGGATCAACTACAAAGTCCGCACAAAAATCCGAAGGCCCACTGACTAGTTTCGGGCGAGAATCAGTGCGTGTAGAGTACAGCTATCTTTACTGAGGGAAACACTTGAAATGCAGAGTAGGTGTAGGAATGTTCATAAAATCTAACAGAACGGGCACAGGTACATTCCTGCCAACTGCATAGGTGGTCTACTATACTAACAGGCTTAGCCAAAAATTTATATAAAGCGTTCCATGGCTATCGTCTACTCGGCTGGACCGCTCTTTTCTCTGTAATCAGAAAAATAAGTCTAATATAAACTTTTACATTTAATCGAAAAAATCTACGGTAAAATTTTAGCTAGTATTTTTGATCGGAAAAATTAAAATTTAAATGTTAATGGAAAAATAAAATGTTAACTTTTATTTTTATAAAATGTTAACTTTTATTTTTGATCGAAAACATAAAAGCCGGGACCGCGAACACGTTCCGGTTTGGTTAAGTTCTGTACGAGAACGTTCTCGGGAATTGTACTCGAAAAAGAACGAAAACGAAACTTTAAGCTGGAACATTTCAACTTCCAGATCGTTCATTATTAGGGAACAATTTTTCATTTTCCGTGTAAGAAAAGTCGAAAACTTTCTCGATAGTCTTGTGTTCTCACTTTAGTTCTTATAAAAACACACTCCCGAAGGCTTTGTTCTCATTTCGGTTTGGAGTTTAAAGTGTTCTTGGGAACATTTAGTTTCGATCGCACTTTTTTAGTTCTCGGTTCCTGCAAAAAAGTAAAATGTTATATTTTATTTTTTATTAAAAAAATATTGGTCAATAAACCGATTAGTTTCAGACTTTTTTGATATAAATCATGTAGGATTATTAAATATTCTTCAAATAACAAGCATCACACTGCTGCATCCAAATCTCGAATAAAGAACATTTTTTCCTCTGATTTTTTGAATTGAAATTTCAATTATAGTACATGTTATTTTCAAGTACCCAAACGGTTATGAATTGTATAATAAAACTGGCTATTTTCGATCACTGCTGCTAAATTCTCAGAATTTTTGCCGCTGCATAATTTCGACTGGTGAATACAAGAATACCCCTAATATTAAAAGCAGTAAGAGACATTATACATGTGTAGATATATAGTATATTTAACTTTATTTATTTTTGCTTGCATTCTCTACGACAATTTACTTACGAATCTCTTCACATCAGGGATGTTATAAATGTCGTATATTTCATATTCGCGAATACGAATGTTTAGGAATAATATTAAAAAAGCTATTACCAACTTACTTCATTCAGGCAGGTTCTGTAATTCACTTCTAAGTGAATTTCAACAAAACTCACTTTGAATTCAAATTCTAAGGGGTTGAAATTCATTCGGAAGTGAATTGCAGAACCTGCCTGATTATTTTTATGACTTACAAATCGAATAAATTACAATTGAAATATAAAAAAAATTATTAGAATATTGAAACAGTGTGAATATTTTAATCTAATAATTGAAAGTTCAAAAGAGACTTCGCTAGGCGATTTCCTAGAAGCTCGTATATAAGGTGGGATGCACTGAACAATTGCTTAGCCTGAACGCTGACGGTCGGAGCGCTCAATTATTTGCAAGCCAGATCCGTCAATTTATAGTATGTATTTTAGTTTAGTTTTCCACAAATCGAGAGGGTTTTCATCGAGGACATACTCGCTTTTTTAAGATAGGCCTTCAATTGAGCTTTAATTTCAAATTTTTTAATGCAATTCTACAGCTGAGCCTACGCTTTCGCTTGAGGAATATAAAATTCTTTTTATATTGCTTATAAGAAATTTAGCAGAACTTGTTAAACATTCGCATTCGTAAAACTTGTTTGCATTGACATCAAATGATGCAAATCATTCGCGTAACGAATACGAATGCAAAAATTCGTAACATCCCTACCTGACATTTGCGGACGCCTATTTGCCGGTAAACAGCTTAAAAGATTCTACATATACTAAATTTGTAAACCTTTCTTAAAGCAGCCCCAAAGGATAACAGACGATTTAAACTGATATTTTTAACTTGATATTATATTTATATTGTATTAGTGATGATATATTAATATGAAACAATAATATCAATAAATGACGCTGAAATATCTACTTTTTATATATTTTATTTTGTGTCCTAATAAAGCAAAGTTGAACATTGCATGCTTTCTACAATAAAGGTTTCTATAAATATGAACTCTTTTGCATTCACTTAGTTAAAAGCATTTATTTACAAATACTATTTTTTTTATTTCCATGAACTTTGTTCAAAAATAATTCAGTTACTGCAAAAATGCTTTCGGAATTTGCGTATATGCTTAAAAACACTAAATGTTTGTATGTACTATCAATACATATATACATACATACATACATTTGTAGTATGTACATATGTATGTAAGTATATTTTTATTGAATAAATATTGAAGGATATTTGCACAGCTTGTTACATGCATTTGTGTTGTTAAATAATGGAAGGAAGGGTCCTTCCCCATGTAAAAGAGGAAAGTGACATACATATATGTATAAAAGCATTTTGCAGACGGCTTACGATGCAACGATCATATCTCCAGCATAGGGTGCCCTCTGAGGGGAACAACTCCACAACAATTGCAGGCGTTCCGCGCATTTCAGGCTTGTTGTAGAATTGTACTCTGGGTCTGCAGGGTGTTAACATTCTATGTCCCTAATTTGGCAAGCTGAGTTTATATAAAAAATCTCATCGTGTGTTACCTCCCAGTATGCCTTTTGACTCGTGCAGACTTGGTAAGCTTCTCTAATTACATTAATTCCCTCAATGTGTTCCTCTCTTTTCTGAGCTCTTTCTTCATTGTATTGGGAGCTACTACATACATCAACGAAGAAGGGCTGGAGGCCGTCAGCTTATGCCTCTCTTGCAAGGCAGCCGCCCGCTATCGCATTTTCCTCTATTTTGTTGTGGTGAAAAGTGAAAAAATATTTCTATCCATTGAAAATTCCTCAATAAGTCATTCGGTAGTGGCATACAACTTAACACCTTTTTGCTGAATTTCCACGAGACATTGAAACGACGAAAAGGACGAAAAATGTTCTACCATTAAACAAATGCCACGCGGAAACAGACTTAGTGCTATTTTCTCAAAACAAAATTACACCTGAACATAATTACACCTGTTTTTTTTTAATGTCCGAATTTGTAATAATTTTTTTTTCGTCATTTAATGCCCAGTGAAAATCCGGCAAAGCACATGAAAAAATTGGATGCAAAGATAAGTCGGCTCTCCTTTGGAATAAATATGTACAAGAATACTCCTAATATTATATGTATTTTCTAAGAAAATTTCATTCTCGAAAATATTGATTTCAAAGTATCGAGTACAATGACATGTCATGGAATGTGAAAAGTATCGCGATGTGGTATCGTATTGTATAAAAGTTCGTGTCCCTAGACGGGTTGTAAATGAAACGAATGCCTGTGTAGTACTTACAAGTGACACTACTAAATAAATTAAGATAAAACTATGTTTTTATAATTTTAGCAAAACAGTAATAAAAAATTTAAGCTGCCAAATATTAAATAAATAACTTTTCTTATGTACAAAAAATACATTTAGTTTAATAAAAACGTTAAGTTTGTTCATACAAATTTACAACAATTTCACGAGTTATTTTAAAAAAGTTTCTGAATTGGAATATATTAGTTTACTTATTTTAGCAACATGATTTGAAAAATGCTGGATTTAAAATGCGTTCCAGATAATTTCAAAATCTAATTAAAACTTTCAAGTTGCTGTGCAAATATCCCTCTTTTATGTTCTTAGCAAATTTTTACACAATAAATTTATGCGATTCACAAAAACTCGTAATGTCGTAAAATTTTCAAACTAAAATAATAGTTAAAATTTTTTAAGCGCATGTGTAACAACACACATCAAAATATTTTTAATCTGATAGAAAATATATGTATAATGCACTTGCTTACATTTTACCCTGCGAATCGCCCAAAAACAATTTTAAAACGTTGTTTTGGCCTAAAAAAAATGTACGACTTTAAGACAACATTACGATGCTTAAGACATAAATAATCACCCGACTATAAAACATACTATATTCTTCACATCCGTTCTTCTAAATTAGTACATATGTATTGTATTGTATTGTTCATCAATTCACATTTGTGTTACACACTTACATCTATCTCTACGCTTAATTCTACGTAAATACATAGTTACAGGCATTCTCTATTTAGATAATTGACTTCAATTATTAATTACTCCTTGGAATTTTTCAATACTTTATGTAGTACTTGCTTAAATTCGCGCTTCAACGATCGCTTCGTTTCGGCAATTCGCTTCTAGGAGAACAGATTGTTGCGACGCTTCAACGAACCGAATTTCTTCTCGGCTTCCAGCAGCATTTTCTCATTGCGCACCACCTCGAATGGTAGGGTTTTGGACAGCCGATCGATCTCTTGATCGGAGGGGAAATCTTCGAAGCTCATATTGCTAAAGCCAGTTTTCGCTGAATTTTGTATTGTATTCGATTGGAAGCTATTCGACATTGCCGAATTGGCAGGGGCACTTGGGCCCTTGGCGCTTTTGCTGCTACCGCCAACACCACCACCGCCGGTACTTGCTGTATGTTTGCTGGAATGTTTTGTTGAACTGCTGCTTGTGACGGCACTCGACGCCGAACGATTCTTGAAATTGCCCTCTCTGTTGCGTTCAACGTCAACCTTGTCGTTGTCGTCGTCGTCGTCGTCCTCTTGTGACTGACATTGCAAGCGTTGATGTTTCTGTTTGCTGCTTGAAGTTAATGATGAAGTTGAGCCGAGGACGCCGGCGGACACTACCTTCTTGTAGGTGTGCCCCTTAACCTTTTGTGTAATCTTAGCTGGCAAAGTTCTCACACCCAAGTGAGACTTTTCTTTTTTTGCTTTGCTGGCTGGGGCTATGGCGGCGCTGTTGAGTATCGCCGTTGCCGATGAAGTTGGTGGCGTTGTTCTTGATGTGGCTGCACCCATGTCGGCAGCATGCGATCCATGCGAAACCACTGGCTCCGCTTCATCGTCTGACGCAAAGTCCGAACAACGCTCTTGAGAGATTTGTACAAAACCATTATCGGCGATAGGAAACAGAGATTGGTGATCGGACACTTTCATGTGGGCAATAGTGCTGGCGGTGGCAATGGCGCCATGGGTGCTTGGCGTGTGCGCGATTTTCGAGACAGTTGCAGTGGTGGAGTTGGAGGGGAGTGCAACAGCAGCAGCAGCAGCAGCAGCAGCAGCAGCAGCACCGCCACCGCCACCCCCACCAGGTATGGTCAGTACGACACCATGCGTATGGGGAATGTGAGCGCTGACTTTGAGAGATTGCTTGTGAAGAATTGTGGCGGCATTAGGACCGGGTATACTGATGGACGCCACTGCCGGGTGGGGCGGCGGTATATTGACACTGACATGCTTGGCAGAGGCAATGTTGGTAGTGTTCAGCGGCGCAACAGTTGCAGGTAATTTGATATAGGCGCTGCCACTCGCTGTGGTAGCGACGCCGGAGTTCGCAGCCGTTGCAGGACTTTGTTGTTGGAATGAATTAGGATTATGGGTGCGATATTGCAACGAGGAACTCGCCAAAGGTTCGGGTGTTTTGTTGATAATTATTGAATGGTTGATTGTGACGAGTTGAGGCATGCTGGTTGGTTGCGGCGCCGCCGTTGCTAAAGGCATGCCAAAGGTTGGAATGGTTGTCACATTGGAATGTTGGGCTACTGGAGCCGCTGGTATGGTCGTTTGAGGTTGTTGGATTTGCACAATGTTGTTGTTGTTTTTATTGTTACTGGCGTTTTCTGCGCCACCCTCTGTGGAATTAACAATAATACATTTACGAATTACCTGCGGAAATGGCTCCGAGCCGAAAAGATCCTTCTCATGCGCTGGCAGAACGCTGGTTGGCAGCTCCACACGCATGGCTGTTGGGAAGTTGGACACAAATGTCAAACCTGCTGCCTTTGCAGTAGTAGGTTTTGGAGTTGCGGCCGGCGTATCGGCTGATGTGGATATAACGGTGACTGTGCCGAAATTTGAGGCGCTCTGTATGTGCGGTTTAGGAGTTAAGGCAGATTGTGCAACAACTGGCTCGACGAATGGATTGAAAATCGGCTCGTTGAACTCGTCTAATTGTGGCGAGGGACCCGAAGGAAAGCTCGTGAAATTATCTGTTGAACTGGTGCGCGTTTCGCATCCTTTTACTGGCGTTGATGTCCAAATTTCCGCTGCATGCGATTGTGCAGGCGGGTTACGTGCCGGCACTTTTGGCGGTCCGCGTGTACTTTTTGTAGTACGCTTCTTCAATGGCAAACCAACAGGCATCTTAAATGGCGCCATAGCGAATACATCCAACTCTATTGGCTTAGAATTTGCATTTGCATTTGCCACCAAATTGGGCGGTACACCACTTTCGGGTGATTCTTCCGTTTCATTACTACTCTTACCTTTCGAATCAGAATCGCCTGAGCCATAATCTAGTTCATCGTCAAGCAGCAGCGGTTTGTCGCCGAGCTTATTATGGAAGTCATTTGATGTCGGACTAAGTTCGCTTTCGTCGTCGCATGCTACAATGCCACTCGCTTCGGCAGCAGCTGCCACAGCGGCAGCGGTGCGGTCCTTCTTGCGCAAACGCACCTTAACCAACACTCGACTCACATCGTCTTCATGCGTGGTGACGCTTTCGCATTCGGCGTGATAAGCTGATGAGCTGCACGTCTTCACACTCTCACTTATCCCATCCATATCCATGATTGGGCGTCGCAACTTTGTGTTGCGCGTACGCACATCATTCTCATCGAACAAGTCATCATCTTCGGCACGCAAATCGCTCGCTGAACCAATCGAATCCTCACCATCCGATTTAACACCGGATGCGGCTGCTGCAGCGGCAGCAATTGCGGCCGCTTGTTGGTGCTGTTGCTCGTGCTGCTCTAAAGCGGCGTTCACTTGCTGTGCGGCCTGTTGGGCTGCTGTTGTCGGTTTCTTAGTGGAATGGCGTAATTTCTTTACAATGGGAACTTTCAGCTGTGTCTTATCGACCTTGTGATAGGCAGCCTGCTGTATCTTATGTATTGTATCTGGTATGTTGTTGGTAACAATTTGCTTGAAAATCGCTTTGGTGCTGCTGGGACCAGTTGTATTGCTGTAATCTTCTTGAAAGAATTCGGAATCAGAATCATCGGAAGTGGGATTATCATTGCTGCGTAATTTTTCATATTTATTACGATCCTCCAACGGGAGTTTGACAAAACCACCGCCAGGCAGTGCTACGCCAGCCAAGGTGGCTACGGAATCACCATCACCTCCGCCACCACCACCACCACCGTGAACATCATCTAAACCGCCGCCAGCGCCACCTTCGGAATCAGTTTTCAGATTATTTATCAACGAAGTCTTTTCCTCACTCGACACTTCCAACGTCGGCGAGAGCAGCCATTTAGACGAAGCTGTCGATGAGGCCGCTGTCATATTACCACTCCCACCGCCACTGGACGACTGGGGCATCGTCGATGTCGGCGGACCGCCACTGACGACGAATTTAGCTGAAAATGAGATTAAGTTCTTTTATGCAGTATAAAAAATGAACTAGTTGACTATGTGATGCGTATGTATGTATGTATGTATGTATGTATGCATGTAAGTAGGTTTGCATGTGTAATCTTAAATACTATTCAGGTGGTAGCTACCGTTTGCGGTTCTGCCTACATATGTGACAACGGCCTCTACAAAGCGCCGAGGATATACTACTTGATCTATACATAAATTTATGGCATCACAACAAACCTATGTACATATGTAAATATGTATGTTTGTATATTAGACCGTACCACCTTAAGTAAGTAAAAAAGTTCGCCGTACACCCCTGAGTCGAAAGTATTTTTGCAAGGAAATTCAAAAATATATGTAACTAATTGTTTTTTTTTGCGAACCAAGACGTTGCCTTATTACATTTTTCTGTGAAACCTAGTAGTATTACATTCGGTAAAAAAAAAAAAATTGTTTTTGTTTTTTAACATTTCTACTGAAATAAACGGAATACTTCCTTTAATTTACTTGCAATAGGGCGGGTAGGACTGAGATTTGAACAAAAAAGTGTCTCCTCGAAACACAAAAAATAAGAACAATAAATCATACTTGGAAATCCGACTGTAAATAATGAAGATATGCCGAAAAATGTACAACGGCGACACCTAAGCTCGGCCAAAATTGTCGAAATTGCTTGGTAAAAAAATTAAGACTCAGCGGTGTAGAGCGACCTTCTTTTTTCCGAAATGGTGGAAAAAATAGTAGAAACAAAAAATGTTGACAAGTTTTGGAAATTTTTCTTTTGTTTATTTAATGTTAAATCATTTTTTTAATAAAAGTCTAGCTCATTACATAAAAACAGCATACAAATCAACGTTTCAAACTTTGTACAGAATTAAGGAAAAACTTTCTAATTAAAAAAAAAATAATTTACCACATTTGGTAACTTTTTAATAAGAGTTGTTACAAAAATTCTGGGTATGCAGTTTTCCTAGTAGCCATTCAATTTTATTATAATATGAATAATGTACAAGTTTCAAGTGACTAAAATATACCCTTTTTTATTGAGAATTTTTTCCACCGTCGGTGTTGAGCATTTTCTCTTATATAACAATGGATTTCGTTCAAGCATTGTATGGAAGAAGATTCTCAAAAATCGGCCACTTGAAACCTGCACTGTTTAAAAAGTTCAAAAATTGTATAATCATTTTTTAAGATTTTAAAATCTTTGTGAATTTTGTACGAAGTTTGAAATGCTGATTTATATGCAGTTTTAACCGACTTCCAAAAAAGGAGTAGGTTATCAGTTCGTCGGAATATTTTTTTTTTTTATGTATGTTACCGCATAATTTTGGACCACCTCAACCGATTTCGATAAGTCTTTCCAACGAAAAGGTTGTATCTCAGATGTGGTCTCATACTAATTTGGTTTTTATCCGATCATTGGATCATGAANAGGCTTTTATAAAAAAATAATAAACATTAAGTAAACAAAAGACAAATAGCCAAAACTGGTCAAAATATCGCACTCCTATTATTTTGTGGACAACTGTATATATATATATTTTTTTAAGTCGTTTTTTTTTTTTTTGCTAAAAATTACTTGTTATATAATGAGTTGTATTTTTATAAAAAAAAAATATTAAACATTGAATAAACAAAAGAAACGTTCCCGAAATTTGTAAAAATTTTTGTTTCTTGTTATGTAATGAGTTGGACTTCTATTAAAAAGAAAATATTAAACATTTAATAAACAAAAGAAACATTCCCAAAATTTGTAAAAATTTTTGTTTCCATTATATTTTCATCACTGTATATGTACAGTGGGCGTCAAAAATATGCATACCTGACGTTTTGACGATTTTGTTAATTATTAATTTCCTTCCAAATTTTTAATTCGATTTTTTAGAAAAAATTTTCAGTATGCACTTTTATAGCCCAATCAATTTTAGTATTTGATCAATCAATTTTAGTGATTCATTTTTGAGAATTTTTTTTAGGGGGGTAATTCTTAGCAACTTGAAACTTGCACTTTATTGTATAAAAATTGATTGGGCTATAAAACTGCATACTTAAACTTCATCTAAGAAATCGAATTGCAAAAGCTAAGTACTAGCGAACCGTGAAGGAACCCCCAATAACTGTATTCATTACAGGCGAAGGGCACGAAGTCTGGAAGTTATAGACGAAAACAATGAAGAAGTTAAGATCCCTCATCAAAGTTGGTCTAAACCTCATTAGCAAAAGTAGCTATGAAGTAGACAAGCCCCAGTGCGCCTCCATTATGTACAGACGTTGACTGGTTACCTGAGGCGTAAAAAAAAATATTTCTATCCCAAGGAAACTGTAACTCCAATTAATTTGAATTATTTGTGGAATTTACAGTTCGTTACAAGATTTGTTACAAAATCTTGGCGTAACTTTTTTTTTTTAGCTTTGTGCAACCCAGATATCTGCGGTATATCATAGCTGAGTTGCTTTACGGCAACTCCATTCAGACCACATGAAAATTGGATCAGAATATTAATGTTAGTAAAAACGACACAATAATGAAAAGATACACAACAACGGAGACTATTTTTTTTTTGTTTTGTGTAACGAACTGTGAATCCACCTGGACCCGAACCTAAGTTAATTGATTCAAATGAATATTCTATTAGTAAATGAAATTGTTGTGAGTGCTTAATATACGTGCGTATCTAATTTAGTTACATATAATGAATTGAAGTTTTTTAATGTATTATGTGCAGAAAATTATTTGGTTACTACCAAGCATTTGTTAGGTGACACACAAATTTATTAAATATTACCCCAAGAATTTATTATAACGAATGACCTTATTTAAATAGAGAATATATATAGAATGGATAAGAAATAAGTTCTCATTATTTATAAAGGTGATAGTTATTTAAATAGTTTTTTTTTTTTTTGTAAGATATTCACAATTTCTTTATTAAGCTAAAATGTAGAACGTTTTGAAAGATATCACATTCCTATTATTGCCGTTTGAAAATTGCCGAAATAATTTGTAATCGTTGCAAATACTTTGCTAAATAAAAATGCTGATGATGTCCTAATGGACCTTATCAAAAAATTCAGCCATTTGTTCATGTAAAAATGTGGTAAAATTAGCGCACCTGATAAGAGGAAAGATTTAAGCTCTGAACACATCGAAAACGACATCACCACACGACACGATAATAAGGTTTTATCTACATAATCTAAACGCCTTGTCAACATGGCGACATGATTTTTTTGAACGCGGCGGCAGCGACATCATGAATTTGTTTGAGTTTGACAAAAAAAAAGAAGAGGAAGAATCTTATCTGTCGCTCAAAAAATAGAAATATATCCAATCTGGCCACAGCTACATTTTTGTGGCTAGTCGTAGTGTTGCCGTGTCGTCGCCAAAATAATTATCTACGTAAGAGTACGTGTTAAAATAGTTTGACAGCTGTGGTCCGTAGCCCGTCGTTTCCAATATGTTTCAGGCTTGAGTAGCGCATTAATATTCACAAATCATTTCAAATTTATTTTACTATTTAAATATTAAATAAAGTGTGAAGATTTTGGCATTGACATATTAACATGTTATAGCCAATTATATTAACATGTTATAGATTTTTATTCGAACGCATAAAGCTGCGTGAAAAATAATAAGGGCAAAATTTAAAATGCTACTTTTTTCAAGTAATGTTCATTTTTTTAATTTTAAATAATTTTTATTTAAAATATAGTTTGATCTATAAAAGAAACCACATACATATGTACATACGGAAGCACATAAATAGCAGTTTCAAAGATTGTTTCAAAGTTTACAAAATGAAAATCAAACTTCAAAAATTTTCATTAAAATTTCAAACTTTATATTCAGAATTTTTAGAAAATTGTCCCAGTTTTGTAGCCCATTCAATTTTAATAATATTTATAATAAAGTTCAAGTTTCAAGTCGCTTCAAATTACCGTTTGTCATTGGGGAAATCTATTGTCGAAGCTGTTGCGCATGAACAAAATCTGTTTATGTATGGAAGAAAATGATCAACCCCTCGGCAAAATAATCCAAAAAAATTAACGGTAATTTTCCTAAAAATTCAGAATAAAAAGCTAGATTTTTTTTTTAGTTTGATTAATTTATGTGAACTTTGTGCAAATTTTGGAAACTTATTTTTCTATGTACTTTCTGTTATAGAGGATAGAAATATATTTTAAATGAAAGCTATTCAAAACAAATAAATAAACATAAGTTCCAAATAATACCATTTTGACCATTTTGGCACTTACGAGGAAAAAAGTTTCTAACCAAGAATCCGAATCTGTAGTAAAAACATGGAGGTATGTATATCTAGTTTAGAAAAAAATGGAATTCCGGTCAGTTTAACCATTCTGGTCGAAGCCGGAAGTCGGTAATACCACCAAAAGATAGAGCATCCCTGATTTGGTAGGTAATTTTTTTGCGTTTTTAAGTTAAAAAAAAAAAACATTTCCCTCCTTTTTAGAGGGGGTGGTCGGGTGGTCTAGGACACACTGTATATATATATAACAACCTGTTTATAAAAGCGAGGTAAAATTATTTTCTTTTTCCTCTTTTTTATGACTATTTTTGGATTTATAATTTTTTTTGCTATATATCAACTCTCAAATTAGTACATATTCCAATCTTCTACGAGTCATATGAGCCTACTTTAAAGTAGCTGTGATGAAAATTAATTGTTTATTAGACCTAAACCGATGTTTATATACACCTACCGGTCGCAGTGCCTTACCCAACCAACTATCTATCATCTATCTATGTACATATGTATACATATATGTATGTACATATTTGTTAGTCAACCAAAGGAGCAAGGCCTATAAAAGTATGTTTTAATGAGTGAGGTTAGGTTACAATTTAAATAAAATAAAAATTAGTTTCTATTGAGTTAAAAATGTCGCCAATAAATTACCAAAGCGAATTCATATTAGGTGGTATCAGCTGATGAAACAACTTTACCTTATAGGATGAGGCTTGACAAAAATA